CCACGCCGTTGTCGCGTCCAATGACCCGTCCAGGGTCATTCAGTCTCTGTGGAGCACTGAACTGCCTCGACCTATAAGCCGGTATTAGCTTCATGTCCAGACATGAGTTGATATAAAGGCAGCTTTGCGTACTCAACGGCAGTGTTGACGCTGGTGGGAGCCGCCAGGGCCGGGATGAATGCCGACACAAGGCAGAGAGCAAGCGTGGAGAAGTGCATGGTGCTTGTGTTGGAGGACGGTATTGACTTGGAAAGATTTGTTGATGGGTGAGATTGTTACTTGGTTCGGCCAGCGAGACGATGTTTGTTGAAGAACTACAGGAAAAGGAAAGGATTCTAGAATTCAAAGCCGGAACTCCCCTCTTTATACTTGCAATTCTTCCCGTTCTCTCAAGCAACTGAAACCCATTCCCCTGCCGCCGGGGAGATCGGAGCCCTATCGAAGAAGCCCGCCCCACGGGTCTACCCAGAAACAAGGACTCTGATCCCCTTGATTCTCTAGGCGACAATAGGGTTGTGAAACATGGGTCCGCGAGTCTTGGCATCCCGTGTAACAATGCGCCACTCATCTGTCGAGGTCTGTGGCGGACATAAGCGCCCAGCAGCGGGATGGGGCGGGAAGGATTGCTGCGCCGCAGCAGTGAGACGCTCGCCACGCGACGTTGTTTAAGGGTCCAAATGCAGGCCAACGAGCGGAATAAGCATGACCACAGCGGAGAGACATGGTCGCTCCCGCTCGTCAATCAGCGGTTGCGCAGCTTCAATAACTTGGAAAACCTCAGGCCCCATGATCACCTGAATGCCACAGCTTGCTTGATCGCAATCTGTCTTGCCAGTGGGCTGTGTGGTTTCCAAACAACAACTACCTAGTTTAAAAGGCGTAAACTGTGGCCAGTGACGGTGCAAACATGGAACGGGTAGGCCAGAGGTCATCAAACGATCTTTATCCTCTTTCTGCGGTGTTCTGATAGAAGGAGAGTAGATGAAAGCCACAAGGCATCTTTCCTCAAAACAGAAAACGCTCCCCAAGACTGGAACTAAGGTTGGTGTCGAAAAGCACAGAGCGGCCTATTGCCTCTCGTCTGACAAGTGCCCTGCCTGACTTCTTCCAAAACTAGGTAGTCAGGCGCCCCTACATATCCCAGGAAGTGGACGGAAGTGACTTAACCTGGGAGACTGGCCATTTGCCAGATCGATTAAGGTTCGGCTCGGTCATCCTCGGAAGTGAGCAGGTCGTCGCCGTATGACTGGGTTTGCCGAAACTTTGTGGCTTGTTGAAGGTTAGGTTTTTTTGTTTGCCGGTGACGGGGTGGTGTGTCATCGATTTCTGTGGCATTTTAGACTTTTTGTGGCATAACGAAGCCGTGGCTGCGCGGCCGCCACTCACATCTTTTCAGTACTGGCCACAGAGCTCGAATGAGTGGATGGACTGGCACTGGTTTACATCAGGACTGGAGCTTGTGGATTTGGGCGAGTGGTACTGCCAGGACTGAGTCGAGGGCAGCTGGAGTCTCCTTTTTTTGTTTTGTTTTACTGGTACTAGCATGGTACCGGCCTTTACCAAGTTGTAATTGTTCTCATTTGTTGTTATATTCGACGGGCCTTTACCCTGTCATGTTAATAATCCAGGTCCGGGTCGGGGACAGCTCTTAACTTGTAGTTTGCCGAGGAAACTGAGGTATGGAACCAAGGGGAAATGCCATGGTAATTTGCGGGGGCTTGGGGTGTCTAAACTTGGATATATTGATCCAAAAGAACCACGAACACAGTACTGAAAAACGCAAACGCCACAAACCCCAGCAACATGTTTGGGCAAAAAGCAATACTGTGAGTTGCAGCTTGATAAAGAATCACTTTCTCCAAGAAAAGGAGTTGGAACCCATGATATGGGTTGAGAGTATTGGTACGAATCACCGGGGTCTAAGAAATGTGTCAAGAGAGCAATTCGTGAAGTTCAAGTGGCCAGAACGTTCATGTTGCATTGCAAACTCGGACGGGCGCGGGGCCTGCCTGCTTAATCGGCTTGCCACCGATCCTCTTGTTGGGGCCAGTTCGGATGAGCGACATCGACTGGGAGCGGATCCGGCAGCCTCTAGTGTCTACTTGTCACTGACATGGGCCATTGATGTCACATGTCCCTGTAATCCTGAAGGAGCGTTAACGTTGCGTCTGTGCCGCGCAAAGTCGCCTTCGCTTAGCGCTGCAAAGCATCGCGGTATACGCTCTAGCGTAGCTACTACTCTCCCCGACTTTCTGCGTAGCAGACTTCCCCGGATGTCCTGTGCTCCTAATCGCGGGGGTGGAGACGCATCGGTCCGCATCCCGAGATCATGTTGCTTTTTCTCCTAGCTGCTGGCCTCGGTTAGCCATTTCGACCCACCCTTTCCGCAGCCGACCTCTTGGACGACTCTATATCTGGGGTATGGGGACGAAATCAGTCGTCGGGGGTAGTCGTGCCGGGAATTCTCTCGCAGCGCACGTTCCAGGGAAATTTGCTCGGGTCAAGCACGTCACATGACGTCCACGTGGTCGCTAACACGATGGGTTTTGGATAACGGTGAGGGCAACACTTTGGGACTATCACTTCCTCAATCGGCCACAAGCACCTGGACTGCATTGAGGTTATATCTCCGGTGAGGGTGATGAGATGACATTGCTGGCACATCACGACACACCGATTTCCAGGTGGGCACATCGGCATATTTCTTCCAACGTGGAGAGTTGGAGCGGTGTCGCTACCAGAGATCACCAGGGGAGATGGGACGAAGGCATATGCCAAGACGAGACAGGAGGGACCAGGGGCTGGCCAAAGCGCATATCAAGCTTCGACATGAAAGCCCGCACGTTTTGTTTGCGTGGAGTCGAGTATCATGATTATGAAAAGGGCTTCTTCGTTTGCTCAAGGGACGCGTTGTCTTTTGTGAAAAGAGCCGTGAGCCGACTTGGCCCGTTTCCTTTTCCTGGTATTTGGAGGCCGCAAGGGCGGACGTGGAGCGAGATTCCCTTGGGCGATGCGGTGGTTCCGGCTCCGTGAGCGACGGCCAAGCTGTCAGTGAGGCAGCAAAGGGAGATCGATCGCTAAATGTGGGTGCAGTCGGCTGCTCTTTCGGCGCGAGGGCCAATTGCGATTTGTGGAATTGGCGTCGCATGAGCGATCGTACCAGGTTTTGTCGCGTGGTGCGACGCGGAACAGCACGATGCGAAACGCGGACGCTCAGACGGGGGCGACGAAACCACTCATTCTTGACGGTTGGACACTGTTGAGCATTGGGCGGCCCGAGCGAGGCGCATTTATGCCAAGACTTTTTGTTCCCCCAACCCACATCCCCCAGGTCCCCCAGGCCGCCCTCTTATAACCACAACCGACTCGCTTTATTTTTCCCCAGCTCGCTTGGCAGGCAAGGACCACCCTCTTGTCAAATCCACTCGTTCCGGACTTTGATGAAATCGTTTCTCTCCCCTGGTGGTTGAGGCGAAGCGCCTCTGGTGACGACGACCGATGGATTCGAGCTCCAACACTACCATCGCCGGCGATGCGACCACAAGCGGCAATGACACGACAGCGCCTTCCACGGCGACGGGTTCGTCGGGGGTGCCGGTGGAGGATTACAGCCTGCCGCTCAACTTGACCGTGTGGTTCCTCACCGGCATCGCCTCCATGTTCCTCGCACTCCGCATCTACGCAAAAATATGGAGGAGGCGGCCGTTGTGGTGGGACGATTACGTTCTTATTGCCGGCTGGGTACGTTCATTCGTTTTTCCATTGTGGTTGGTGTCTGACGCTTACATTGCGACAGGTTGCACTCGTTCTTTCCTGTTCCTTCCTCACCGTGTGCACCCACTACGATCTTGGGAAACACGGCGACGACATCAAAAAGGAGAATCTTTCCAACCTCCTCAAGTACACGTATTTCGCCGGCTTCTTCTCCATCCTCGCGGCCATTTGGAGCAAGTCCTCCTTCGCCATCACCCTCCTCGGCTTCTCCACAGGGCGCACTCGAAAGGTGGTTTGGTTCATCCTCATTTCCATCAACATCATCATGGGAGGAAATGCATTGCTGCAATGGATCCAGTGCTGGCCGATTCCCAAACTCTGGCTGGGTGTGGAGGGAGTCTGTTGGTTGAAGTTTCGACGGGTGCGGGCTATCAACACATTCGTCGCCGCCTATTCCGGGACAGCCGATGTGGTGCTTGCCCTGCTGCCGTGGAAGATCATTTGGAATGCAAAGATTCGGAGGAGCGAAAAGCTGGGCGCGCTGTTTGCCATGAGCATGGGGGTTTTTGCAGGAGCTGCTAGCTTCTCCAAGATCCCGGCTCTGGGGGCGATTGGGAATGCGGACATGAGTGAGTGGATTCCGAGACAAAGCATTGTTGCCGGCACTAACAAACATCACAGTCACCATGGTCAGCCTCTACATTGTCGGCACCGCCGAGGGCGCCATCACTATCATGGCCGCGTCCATCCCGATCCTCCGCGCCCTCTTCCATCAAAGGACCGGACCCACTACCCCGTCCATTCCGTCCAGCTTCAAGATCACCGAGAACGATAGCCCGAGGAACAGCCTAGTCTAGCAATGACAGCAACACGAACACGATTTAATGTTTTTTCTATACCCAAACCTACCGCAGGCAGGCAGGCACGAACGTTGTAGGATATGTACATATGACGGCATGAGCATGGACGGGACTGGAACAGCATACGAATCAGGGTCGGGCTTGGGAGCGATGCATAGCAGGAGTTGATGGGTACCTTATTTGCATTTTGGGCTCTGCATCTACTTGGTGCTATGTGTGTTGCTTGGAAATGTGCTCTATAGCTGTACAATAGCTTTGGAATTGAGGCAATGGAAGCTTGATGCAATAAAAGCCGTCATCAATTGTACGCCCGGGCCCACAACGTCCCTGAAAGTCGCCGGCCACGTCGCAATGTGGGTCTGCACAACAGCCAACGGCCACGCGCGCTCATATGAAGGCAAACTCACTAAACAGAATATCACACAAGGCGAGATGGCCGAGCGGTCTAAGGCGCTACGTTAAGGCATTCCTTAATAACATCACTGGATCTTTAACTCCACGATTCTGTAGTCCGAAAGGGCGTGGGTTCGAATCCCACTCTCGTCAGAGCATTTATTTTTGCTTCCATCGGAGAGAACTCCTGTCATCATTGCCTTGGTTTTTTGCGGCCGAGGGAGAGAGGCAGTCTTGCTTCGGCCATAGTTTGCCCGTTGAGCGCCAAGGCATGAATGCCCTGTCTTTGCACAACCCCAACACTGGCTCCCTCCTCTTCATAACGGCGGCAAAGACCTGAAAAGCTCAACCACAGATTTAACACTACACTGTGACAGCCCATCTTACCTCCTTCTCACCCGAGCAAAATACCAAAATCACCGCCCAAAGCGACAGCAAGAAGTGCTGCGGTTAACAATGCCCAAGGCACAGCGTACCCACATTTGCCGGACCCCGATTCAACCCTGGCGTCTTTATTCCTAGCTCAATCGACGTATATAACCAATACGGCTTTTCCGCATTCACGCTAGTAATAGCCCCTGACGCTTAAATTGCAGAGCTTTTGTCTAGAGACGGACGACTACCCGCCATTTGCAGCTCTCCCGTACATGTGTTGGTGGGTGTGATATTGCGAGCTGGAAAGAAGTTCAATTCACCCAGAAACATCATGATGGTTCTGTGCAAGGTAAAAGACACTCAGAGTCCACAAGCGGAGCGGAGGTATTCCGTAGAATTGGCAGTTAATTCGATTCCTATGATAACAGCAAGCGGACAGAGGCGCTAGAGCTTGTTTAAAAGGAAAGAGGTTACATGCACAAGCGGGTTCAGCTTTGGATCACGACGTAGCTAGATTGGTGATTACCTAAGGTACCTAGGTACTTGATGCTACTTGACAAGAGGTGTCCTCAAACATGTCAGTTGTGATTCTCGCTTCCAGACTCTTCCCTATCCTCTTCAACCGGACATTCTTTCCAGCATGTGCCACCACCACCGGATCGATACACTGTCTCTTGCTACCCAATATGCGGCACATACAAACTCCACCTCGGCACCTCATACGCACTCTCCGGCAAATGCGACAGATTGATAAAACTCTCCACCACCAAATACACCCTCGCCACCACATATAGCACCACCAACACCGGTACCACCAAATCAAACGCAAACTTCAACCCAAACGACACCACCCCCGGCCCATACGCCACAACCGCCAACGGCACCCCCACCACCCCCCTCCCAAACCCCCTCACCAACCCCCACTTCCCCCTCTCCCCCCTCCCAGACTTACATGTATACCACCTCTCCACCACCCCCGCCCCAAACAACAACATACTCGCCGCCATCCAAAAACCCCCCAGCGGATCCCCCTTCCAAAACGGCGAAAACAACTCCCACGTAAACACCACCGCCACCAGCCCCCCCGTCGACGTAACCGTCACGCTCGAAAGCCTCCACAGCACCCTTTCCGCGCGCGTCGGAAAGTCCGCGCTCCATGCTAAGCAGTGCAGTCCACCGTAGATGAAGCCCGACAGCCCGAGGCCGATGTAGAGAGGCCACTCGTTGGACACGCCGGTGAAGCGGGGGAAGTTGCGGAGGCGGGAGTGGAGGGAGTCGGGGTGGGGTTTTGAGGGGATGTGGATGTGGGCGAGTTGGGAGAGGGTCCAGCGGCGGAGGTCGAGGGGGGGGATGGAGATGTGAGGGCGGTGGGGGAGGGGGCCGAGGGTGTGGAGGTCGATTCCGGGGGTGAGGGTTACGGTGAGGAGGCCAGGGGAGGTGTAGCTGCCGCGGTGGGATTTGGAGAGGGGGATGAGAATGGGGGTGGTGGTGAAGAGGGGGGTGGAGAGGGAGGAGGGGGTGAGGTGGGGGGAGAGGGAGATGGTGAGGTAGAGGTCGACGGAGGGTTGGCTGGAGGGGTGTTAGTAAGTGGCTTTGGGGGCTGGGTATTGGGAAACAGGGGTTGGGGGTTGAGTTGAGGGACCTACCGGTCGGAAACGAGGGAGTCCCAGAGTCGGTCAAAAGCTTGGGCTGTTCTGCGGAAGATGGCCCAGACGTCGGGATAGGGCTTTTTCTGGCGCACAGCGGATATTGTGTCGATTGTGAGATGGAATCGTGTCCTGTCTTCACGGTAGGGCGGGTGTGGGTCAACCTTTGAGACCTTGCACATGTGGGCGATGATCATGCAAAACTTGTCGTCTTTGGGGTTGATCATGATAACCTCGGGTTCTTCGATGTCCAGTGGCTTGTTCCACCAAAGGGAGTAGATCAGAACAGTGCAAATTGCGTGCCCAAAAGTGTTGAGTTCGAGAAGACTGACGGCGAGCCCCTGAGCCACTCGCGAGAGGCACTGGATGCAGAACCATATTGCTTCAAGAAATTTGTCAGCTCATATGAAGGGTGACCGACAGGGTACAACACACCTTGGAAGCAAACAATGGACTTGGCGAGTATGCTTCCCTTGCTTTTATCCTCGATAAACGACCGTGACAAGTCCGGCACAATGCCCGGCAGGTGCTCCTCCAAGTACAACAGGGCGTCGGGACTGAGGGAGAGCCTTTTGTGTCTTTCTTTTCCATCGGCTTTCAATGGGAAGAAGTTGAGTTCCTCATCGGATATTTGAACGGCAAACCCTCCCATGACGGCGAAATAGCTGTGAATCATTGTCCACGGGTGCCTCCTTTTGTGGATTGTTGGAGTCGAGCTGTTGCAGGTGAACTCGACATCGAGCTCTGTGCCCTCTTTCTGTCTCGTCCTTTTCCTGTCGACAGGCACTGGAAAGTGAAACTTCATGCTTTCCGTCAAGCCCTTTGCAGCCCTGTATTGCTGAAATGCCGTGAAAGCTACCAGCTCCGGGGCAATGAAGCCGAGTACCATCCATCCCAGCTTCCGCCATACTTGTCGCCGCCAAGATCCACGGTACTCGGGTATGTTGAGGTGTATTGCCGTCCAGATGCATAGTCCCAATGTGACAAAGCATGTTGAAAGGATGTTGTAGGTCCCTCGGTGGGACGGGTCAGGCTTCCATCCCGCAGTGTCCTTACTGAAGCCATCTCCGAAGATGCCTGACATTTTGCGAACGGGAGCGTGGATGCATCGTTGTATTCTTGAGACCCCGACGAAATTGTCTAGAAATTCGGGAGTTGGGATACTGGGTTGTGACTAGAATCTTCACCGACACCAAGTGTAGATGTGGGGATAGGGGCTGAGCTATTTCGGGACCACCCGACTGGGTTGCGCTGCTGCGTGCACTGCCACGGCGTACATGCTGCCGATCGCAGCTGGAAGTTCTGTTCGGCCACTGAGAGTTGAGAAACGGGCGGAACGTCGGACCGGGTTCAACGTTCAACGGCAGATGGCGACATTTATTGGCTGCATGTAAGCCGGCAGCTGAATGCCGCCGAGCGTTTCGGGTGCCGAATTGACTCACAATGATACCCATTCGCCTTCGGTACTCCCATTCTATCCACCCCAAAGCTTTATCGGTACAGCTACGCAAGCCCGCAGTCTGGTCTGTATTTACACCGGAAAGCCCTTGCTTGATAACGCCCATGGTTACCTATATGGTCATACAAAGAGCGCTCTGTGGCTTTACGTGAAGCCACTGATGAACCTCCGGGCGCTCGCACAGGATATTAGGAGTCGAGGTAGTGAAAGCCGAGATAACAACTCATGAAGAACATGAAGTGCATGATGGTATGTTGCCATGAGTTTAGTTTGGCATTTCTACCTAGCTACCTATACAAGTGGACATACCCAAGATAACTCTAGATGTAATAAATAAAAGATGGAACGAAAGAGAGACAGAAAACAAAGCCCCTATTCGATAGCCAATATTGTGGAAAAAAAAACCATAGGGCATCAGCAACAACACTCCTCCGGAAACCACACCGCGCCTCTCTAGTCGACAAACTCTCCCCAAATCACAAGTCCGCAAGCTCCACCCCCAACCCTACATCACCTCAAAACCCCACATCAACACACGCACCACAACCTCGCAACCCCAATCTCAAAACTCACTCCTCCCCAAAGAAAATACCATCCAGCCTCTTGAGCAAACTCTCCCTACACACACACTTCTCACCACACTCCCCGACCGGACAAAGCGGCGTCGTCGCCGGCAGCACCTCGCAACCAACCGCCTTCCTCGCCGCCGGATACGGCTGCTTGAACCACGCGGCGCGGTATCCCAGGCACCAGTCATGAATAGGCTGGCAGTAGTCGCAGCACGGGCAATCCTCGGTGCACACGGGCTTAACGCCGTACCAGGGGGGCAGCTTGGGGATGAGGCGTTGGTTGTGCACGGGCAGGACGGGGAGGTCGGTGGTGAATTCGGGGATGTCCGTGCTTTCATCAGAGTTGGGGTTGGTGTCGGGATGGAAGTCGCCGCCGAGGGCGGAGGAGAGGCTCTTCATGAGGGTTTCGCGGCAGAGGCAGTTTTTGGCGCACTTTCCGACGGGACAGACGGGGGTTTCCTCGGGGAGGGACTCGCAGCCGATGAGGTTGCGGATGGTGTTGTAGGTTGGTCTGGTGAAGTGGGGTGCGTTGAGGGGTTCGCACCAGGCGCAGGAGGGGCAGGATTCGGGGCAGGGGAGGATGGAGAAGGGGGGGAGCTTGGCGGTGAGGGGGTCGGGGTCGTCGTCTGAGGGGGCCGTCAGGGGGACTTGGGTGTTATCGTGGACGATGGTATTGTCGGCGTTGGGAGAGTTGATATTGGGACACTCGCAGCAGGGAATTTGGGCGTCGGGAAGGGAGATGGTGGTTCCTGAGGAGAGGGAGATTTCGGTCGAGGCGAGCTTCAGGGCTTGGTCGCAGCATCCCTGGAGGCAAAGAGACGAGGCGGATGCAAAGGACAATGCCGTCGCGAGGAAGAAGATGAGGGGTTTCATGTTTGTGAACATGGTGGTCGGGTAGGCAGGAGGCTTGAGGTGATGGTTTGTTCAGGGGTAGGACTTGGATGGTTGAGAGTTGATTCAGATTTCGACGAAGAGTTGCTCGATGATGCTCCTAAACTTGAGAAAGATGTCTAGACGGCCGGTTTTTATCTCCAGTGTAAGCGCTCTACAAGAAACCATCGTCAAGTTTGAATGTGCCTTGTGTCCTGCCCTTCGCCCCTTTTC